GGACGGTGGTTACGACGAGTAAGGACGTGAGATGATAATGGCCAATGCAGCACAACTACTGCTAGTACTACTACTACTACTACTACTACTACTACTGCTACTACTACCTCTGCCAGCCCACGCTACTGCTCTCCTGTAGAAGGCCTTAGCCGTCGGCTTCAACTCGATCGAGGTAGTAGCAGCATCAACGCCCTTCTTGAACCTTGACAGCACCCGGACCTATTCTGAATCTTCCTCACAGGGCCTACTTTGCTTCTTTACAGTAGCAGTTAGCCATATTAAGATGTATCGTCCGTTTTAACTCGTTGATATGGGCCAAATCCTCGGCCCTAGTGGGCGTAGGTCTCCCCTCCCCCGATGGCCCCACCATAGACGCTAAACTATCTGCCTCGGACTTCTGCCCATTAGGGTCTCTCAACACTACAAGGGCCATACCTCACACAAGCCTAGGGGGTGGTCTCTACTACCTCGTAACTCGTTGAGGGCCAGATGGTATTTAAATAGAGCCTTTTTATAATTACCTGCTTTGAAGTACCTAACCGTAAAATTCCTACCGTAACTTTCGCGAATCCTACTCTAGCTCCTACTCGTTCCCATCAGCTTTGTACCCCTCGCAGGCTTCTATAATCTCCGCCACTGAGCTCATATGAGAATAAACAATTAGATGTTGAGAGAGCATTGCATAAATCTTGCTTACTTGATTAATCTTGCATTTCCTCAACGATTCCCGACATGTACAGGGTATCATAACTACTGTTGTTGTAGGGATGGGAAGGGAGCGTCTCGAGGCAGTCGACCTGAGCCAGAACCATTACGACGTATTAGAAGTCAATGCTCGGACGGCCACTCAAGCCGACATGAAACGGAGCTTTAGGAGGTACTACTACTGGGCACTGGAAGGGGGGTACTACTCCGAAGTGGACATATGCTGGATATTACCGCTACTGCTCCTACTCACCTCAATGCAGTCGGTAATCGTTCTTCACTATAGATCGAATTATTAGAGAGGTCGTATCGGACAACTGGTTGGTAGCGAGCTCAATATTCGTGAGGGCTAACACAGAAAGCCCTCTTCTGGGCCTGTTTTGAATCTTTCTATTCCGTGCCTTTGGATACGTCATCCGTGTGTCAATTGCCCACGTCTTCGATAGAAATCTCCTCTCTGTATATCATAGGATGGTCGAAACTCTGCGAAATATTTCTCGTACCAGAATTTCGGCGATCTCTTCCCAAGGCTTTCGGGTTGACTTCCATCGATTTCATTTATCCCCCCCCTCATCCATGGCCCTCAGCTAACCCTCGTGGGCGCCCCTCAAAATATCTCCCACCTCGGGGCTTATAAGCTGGCCTAATGCTTTGCTAATCATATGTGTAATTATATCACTGATATTGTTTATAAACATGTAACGATAAGATGTGGACAAACATGACTTCTGATAAGCCTCTTGCCTTCCCCCCAATACCTTTGCCAGGGGTGTTGGCCTATGCCGCTGCTGATCCTCTCAGGCTCTGTTTGAAGTACCATCCCGACAAGGGAGGGGCGCATGCCACCGACCAATTCCATCGAATCAAAATCGCCTACGATACGCTGTCTGACCCAAAGCAGAAAGTGAAGTGAGTTAGTAGCGGTTAAGGATTCATAAAGAGCGTTGCCAGGTTCGACCAAGCTTACTTCTATGCGAGACATTCAGTTCCCCGAAATTTCAAACGCATACCACGTAAGACACCTCGCCATGATTGATACCACACTTTGGTGACATCAGAGCCCTCGCCGGTGGAACCCTCATCGAAGCGGCCAAGAGTCCATCCAACAACAGCAGCAGCAAATGGAGGAAGAGGAGTAATGACGAGCTCCTCAGGAGTGACCTCCCCCACCGAGACTGTGTCCGGAAGTACTCTTCATAGTAGTAGTTGCCTCTTGTCCACCGCCGATCCTCTCGTCGAGTTAGGCGTGAGTCCACCTTCTGATGAAGCTGCTATGGGGGATGGGAATTTGGAGAGTATGAGCATCACCAAGCTCAAGTGTATAGCGAAAGTGTGTCGGAGGGGGCTGACAGCGTTTAGGAGCTGACAATGGTGGCTTATCGTAGGCTCGGGCCATCGACATCGCGACCTGTATTGAAAAGGCTGATATCATCAATGCTATAAGGAAGGGATTAGAGGAAACGTCTGCATCAGGAACAGCAGGAGGCGACGAGGTAAAACACTGTAAACGGTCAATGAGTGTTAGTCCTGAATTAGGAGAAGGATGAGGCACGACCGATGGGGAGCTCTGTTGCAGCGAGGGGAGGGGCGGGTGATGATGACCCTACACTTCACAAGGAGGGTAACAGCTCGCGAATTGGTCAATAGGGATGGGTATGGGTGTCATATCTTAGGTGACGATAGATGCCGCAAAGCAGCGTATGAGCGGGAACTTGCCTCTTGTAAAGATGAGATGCACCTCTCTAACGAGAGCCTGGCCGTCTCGACTACTCTAGTGGATAATCTATCCAAACTCCAACGAATGCTAGACTCAACAGCTGCTTATGCTACTGACCACTCCTCGGCAATCTCCAGTCTGCGGTCGCGCGTCGGGACTGGAAGTGTACGTAGTAGGGAGGGCTTAGCGAGCGTAGGTGGTAGTAGTACGTTGTCACCTAGTGGGAGGTTTTCGAGCGCTATGCAGTGCCATATGGGATCTTTGCTGTCCGGGGCGAACGCAATCACTGATGTGAAGAATGCTCTGTGCAAGCTCTCGGAA